TCCTCCTCCTCCTCCTCCCCCTTATGTTCCTCCTCCTCCTCCTCTTCTTGTTCATCCTATTATTCCTCCTCCTCCTGCTCCTCCACCTCCTCCTCCACCTCCTATTCCTCCTCCTCCTTCTCTCCCCCTCCTCCTCCTCCCTCCTCCTGTTCCTCCTCCCTCCTCCTCCTCCCCTCCTCCTCCTCCTCCTCCTCCTCCTCCTCCTCCTCCTCCTCCTCCTCTTCCTCCTTATTATTATTCCTCCTTCTGTTCCTTTTCCTCCTCCTCCTCCCCCTCCTCCTCCTCCTCCTCCTCCTTTTGTTCCTCCTCCTCCTCCTCCTCCTCCTCCTCCTCCTCCCCCTTTTTGTTCCTCTTCCTCCTCCTCCTCCTCCTATTCTTTTTCATCATATTATTCCTCCTCCTCCTCCTCCTCCTCCTCCTCCTCCACCTCCACCTCATATTCCTTCTCCTCCTCCTCTTCCCCCTCTTCCTCCTCCTCCTCGTGTTCCTCCTGTTCCTATTCCTCCTCCTCCTCATCCTATTAGTTATCCTCCTTTTGTTCCTTTTCCTCCTTCCCCTCCTCCTTCTCCCTCCTCCTCCTCCCCCTCCCCATCATCATCAAATTCCTCCACCTCCGCCTCGTCCCCCTCATCCTCCTCCTCCTCCTCCTCCTCCTCCTCCTCCTCCTCCTCCTCCTCCTCCTCTTGGAGGGCCAGTTGCTGCTTTCGCTTCAGGCCGCTGCCTTATTGCACCCCCGAAGCGAATATCAAAAACCTATTCTTCCTCCTCCTATTCCTCCTCTTCTTCCCCCATCTCCTCCTCCTCCTCCTCGTCCTCCTCCTCCTCTTCCTCCTCCTCCCCATGTTAGTGGTGGTGGGGAATCGGCTCGTCAGCCCCTGCTTCGGGGCAGGGTACGTTTCGATCCGACCGAGCCGCTTCGAGATCGATGTCGGCGTGCCCGCCTCGCTTCGCATCGGGTGCTCCGACGATCCGACGCGGCCCGGCGCCTGCGCGGCGCTGCTGCGGCGCCTGCGCGGCGCTGCGCGGCGCGCTGCGGCGATGTCGATGTCGGCGTGCCCGATTCGGTTCGGATCGGGTGCTCCGGCGATCCGACGCGGCCCGGCGCCTGCGCGGCGCTGCTGCTCACCTCGGCGCAGCCGATGCGACTCGGTGCCGACTCCGTGCCGCTGCGGCCCGAGTCGATGCGCAGTCCGACCCGATCCGAGTTCTCGATCCGATGCTGGCTGATTTTGCCTCTCGCGCCGGCCGATGACAGCAAATATTTCTGGATGTCCCAAATCTCAACTTACGCGCTACGTCGAGCGGCTTCCAATTTCGAAAATCGAGATGTTTTGGCTGTGCTTTGCTATTCCCCGGGATGACATGAGCCCAATCTCCTTGCAGCCGCTCTTCTACTGTATGCTTGTACCTGTGGGCCGTCGGGGCCTCCGAGAGGGGGTGGGGGGGGTCCCCTCTTCTTCTAGGCCACGGGAGACCCGAGGAGGCCATGGGAAATCGGGGGAGGGCACACGCAGGGGCAGACACTCCGTTGCTCCAATGTTTCGCTGGCGCCGGCGTTCTTTCGGTCCAAACTTGCTTGGGGAGCCAGCGCGGGCAGGGCAGAGCAAGCATGTTCAACCGCCCCTGCTGCTCGAGCTTGCCGCCCCTATCTGGGCGAAACCGCCAATGGACGGGGGGAGCGCGAGGGCTGTTGGCGGCGGCGATCCCGCCACTGCGGCGCAAACGTCGGGAATTCTGCCGGCTTCAAATTGCTTGCTCGCCGAATCCACCAAAAGAAGCTGCGTCAGGGAATCAATTTTGGGGCAAAGCCGTTCTGTAGTTGATCCCGTATTCGAAGCCCCCGAGGAGAGGGTCCAGTGTTGAGTCGGGCCCGTCCCTTCACAGGAGGAAGATTCCAACAGAGTCCAGAAATAGCCCGGGGACTTTTTTTTGAGTATGTTCGAGCATGCGGGGGGTATTTTCTGAGTATGTTTTATTTTCCGCCCCAAATCCCCGAGTACAGTGAGCGGCTTGAATAAGGAACACTCACTTTTCAAAAGGGGTTCGGTCGTTCCTTAGGTCTGCTGGCGTTATTTACAGTTCCTTATGCGTTATTTGTTATTTACTGTTCCTTATGCGTTATTTCTTGGGGTAAAAAAGGGGCTTCGTTCCTTACTTATCGTTCCTTAGGTCAGGCCGACGACTGTAGGGGGGACAGGCCCGACTTCAGGTCCAGCGCCAGGATCTCTTCCGGCCTCCCTCGGTCCGCCGTGGGGGGGGAGCGGGCCCCCGAGGTTCCTCGCCAGGCTCCCGGGGCCCTCCTCGGGCCCCCGGGACCGTCAGAGCACGGGCTACGTCGGGCCTGTCCCTCCCCACAGGGGGAATACTCAAAGATAGTTTACAAAAATAGTCTCGGGACGATTTCTTGACCATGTTTGAGCGTTTGTAGTGCATTGCCTGGGCATGTTTTATTTTACTCGTCCTGTGGGAAGGCCCTTGGGTCCTCGCGGGCGGCAGAGAGGGGGGGGGGACAACGTGGGGGTGGGGGGGAGATATCATGGCGGGGGCCATGATGCCTCCCCGGATGTCGTGGCGCCCCTTCTTACTTCAACGCGTCCGCTGCCGCCCCCGTGGGCCGCGCACGTGCCACGGGCCATGTGTTGCACCCCCCCCACTCTTGGACGCCCCCCCCCCCTTGGATGCCCCCGAGGGTCCATGACCCGTTTCCCACAGGATCAGGAGGGAACAAAAGCACAGACACGATGCATCGTCGATTCCCAAGAAACTACGGGGAAACACGGGAAGTGGGGGGAAGGCAAAAACCCAGAACTTCTGGGGAAAATATTGGGAGTCCTGTCATTTGTGCCTATTTGCTTGTGTGCCCCAGGGCCCCCTCCTCAGGATCCCTCCCCCCCAGTGTTAAGTCGGGCCTGTCCCCCTACAGGGGGATTTCCGACGAAAAATAAACAATACTCAAACATAATCAAAACATAGTCCCAAAATACTCTGGGGACTATTTTTGGAGTATTTGTTTACCGTTTTAGGGCATGTTGGGGGGTATGTTTTTATTTGCCTCGGCGAAAATCCCCCCTGCAGGGGGGACACGCCCGACATATAACCCCAGTGCTCACTCGGTGCCGCCTTCTTGCCCCCTTGGTCGCCGTGGAGGAAAAAAAGAGGCCACGGGCTTCGCTGCCCCAGCGACCGACGCCCGTTGTGCAGCGCGCCGCGTGCCGCGTTCAGAGCGTCCGTGCCAACACGCTGCGCGTCGGCTCGGCACGTGGCGCACGTTCATCAGGAGGAGGAGGAGAGGAGGAGGAGGAGGAGGAGGAGGAGGAGGAGGAGGAGGAGGAGGAGGAGGAGGAGGAGGAGGAGGAGGAGGAGGAGGAGGAGGAGGAGGGAGGAGAGGAGGAGAGGAGAGAGGAGGAGGAGGATGATGAGGAGGAGGAGGTTTATCAGGAGGGAAAGAAACACGCACACACAGTCAATCCTCGTCCCGAAAATGTGGGAAAATATGGGGAGTGAGGGGGAAGACAAGAACCCAGGAACACTTGGGAAAAGATGGGGCATCCTGTTACTCGTGTGCCCCAGGGCCCCGTTCAGTTCGGGCGACCGCATCGCGCCAGCACGCTGCGCTTGCAATTCGTCCACGTGTCGAGCTCCGCGCCAGCACGCTGCGGGCTGCGTGCTGCGTCTCGGGCGGAGGTCCTGCGGGAAACGGGCCCGGAGGAGTTTCGCCGTTTCAAGGCACCCCTGGGGCCCTCCGCGGGCCCGGGGGGGCAGGTAAAAACAATGCTTCGGGACAACATCCTCCTCCTCCTCGATCCTCCTCCTCCTCCTCGATCCTCCTCCTCCTCGATCCTCCTCCTCCTCGATCCTCCTCCTCCTCCTCGATCCTCCTTCTCCTCGATCCTCCTCCTCCTCGATCCTCCTCCTCCTCCTCCTCCTCCTCCTCCTCCTCCTCCTCCTCCTCCTCCCCCCCGTGAAGCCAACGGATCCTGAAGGCAGCGGGTCCCTCCCGTTTCCTTCCGGACCCGGTTCCTTCACGCAAACTCTTGCTTTCACGCCGCCCGTCTCCCCGGCCAGACGCCGGAGGCAGCAGAGGGCGTGGACAGCCGCGGGGAAGCGCTGCGCTCGCTTGGGCCCTCAAAGCCTGGCCGCTTGGAATTGAGTGCGTGTCAGCCACGCGCAGAGGGGGGGATGGGGAGGGGTGAATGCTTCTTAGAAGCATCCCTGCCTCTTAGAACGCGTGGGCCTTGGCTCTACATGTAATGCCGGCGCCTTCTACGTACGAAGCAGCCCCCTTCCAAGAAGCCTTCCCCCCTCCCCCGACCCACCTCTGCGCGCCGCCAAGCGTGCAACCTCCTGTTGCAACTCACCCGGTGGCGGAGACTGATTCGGTCGGAAGGAACGTTCGGAGCGAGGCTGAGCGAACCACGGGAAGGTGGCTGGCACGCCGAGACCAGTGGAGAACTTGTGCTTGGGCGAGGTGCCCGCGCAAGATGTGTCAGGTCATCGGCAAGAAAGCGCTTACAGCGTTCCTGTCCAATTCAATATTTTCCTAGATCGTGTTCGCCGTTGTCGTCCCTCCGGCTTCGCCTCCTCATCCTCCTCTTCCACTCTCCTCCCTTCTCCTCCCCCTCCTCCTCATCCTCCTTCTCCTCCGCCTTCTCCGCCTCCGCCTCCTCCTCCGTAGCCATTTTGGCTCAAGGCTGATGCTTCCGCGGGCTGAGCCCGCATTGGCAAGACTGGATACCGCTAGTCCGCGGCAGGCAAGGCCACTTGTGGCCTGGCGTTCCTTTTCCACATACTCCCACTTTCTCTCGGCATGGCTTGGCGTGGCAGTGTTCCCTGGCGTGGCGATGGCCGCCGCAACCAAGGAAGTGATGCGCCCAGAGGTGGATGGGTCTGGCAGGAGGACCTGGGCGCAGCCACCCCCAAGCCCAAGAACAAGAAGAAGAAGCAAAAGGACCTCTCCTACGGTGTCTGCAGCCTCTGCTCGCACTGGGAGTTCCTCTACCATGGCCACCGCGCATGCAGCAGGTGCGGCGGCCCTTACCTTCCGTCTGCTGCACATGATGGTGATGGGGTTGATCCTAGTCCTGGAGGTGTCGCACCGGGTGCTGCTGCGGTGCCCATGCCACCTCACCTATTCCAAGAGCTTGAACGGTGGGCTGCTCACTACCCCGCTCTTGCTGGCGTCGCTCGTGAAGCAGCTGCGCCGCCGTCACCGCCGCTACAGGAGTATACTGATGTGGAATTGGATCGTATGGCAGCTGCGGAACAGACTTCCCTCGCCAAGACCGTCGAGCAGGCCACGAAGGCCGAGCGCCTGGCGCACCAGGAGGTGCAGTGGCGGCTGGACAGGTTCAATAAGGCGAAGAAACACATGGAGGAGGCACAGAGTTTACACTTGGAGGCTGAACATGAGCTTGAGCTGGCTCGAGCCACCACTCGTGAAGCTAATGAACGTAAGGCCTCCTTCGACGTACAGACTTTCAAGAATGGGAAGCGTGATGAAGTTGAGCAGCGCCGTCGTCAGCGTGCCGCCGAAGTGGCTCGTGCTGCCGCTGATGCGCGCGCTGCTGCTGCGCCCCCCGCCGCTGGCGACTTCGGAGCAGCACCCGCCACCGCCCCAGCGGGCGGTGCGGCCGCCTCTCGTGCCCCTGGCACTGGAGACGCGGCCGCCGCGGGAGCCTGTGCCCATGCCAGCGGCGGCGCGGAGGCGCAGCCCATGCAGGAGCCACAGCCCATGGAGGAGGATGATGCAGGTGTTCCTTGGCTGCGTGGCCATGTTGTGGACTACATGTACGTTGAGGCCAACCTGCACACCTTCTCAGATGACGACCTCGAGAAGCTGGTTGCCCACTCGGCCATTGGCCTGGAGCAGTGGCAGCAGTACCGTCTCCATCTGCAGCGGATGCGAGGCGTTGATGAGGATAACCTTTCCGACCTGGGCAGTGAAGTTGCCGACAATGACATGGAGCCCCAGGATCGCGACAAGTACCGTGACCTCAAGAGGCGAGCGGTGGAGCAAGGCTTGGACGTGCAGTCTGCCCAGGAGTACACCGACCTTCTCTCCAAGCGCATCATGGCGAAGGCGGGCAAGCGTGCCAGAGTTGTGTCCTCCGTCACGGCCGACATGTACCGCAGCTTCTGTGTTGCCACGGCCAAGCAGATGGGGGTTCCACGTGCTGCTGCTGCCGTACCACCTGGACATCTCCCTGCTGCTGCTCCCGCTGCGAAAGGCGCTGGGCGTGCTGCCGCCTCTGACGCCCGCTCGCAGCAGCCTCTTTGACGACCTGTTGCCTTCGGCCCAGAGAGCCGAAGGCCCACGCTCGCTAGCGCCTTGCCAGTCGCCAGATGCGAGCACTCAGGTATTTTTTAAGTTTGTGAACATCACACAGTGGTCGAAGCTGACTCAGGACTTCTTGGCAACTAAGGTCGCTGAGGTGGATGGAGTGTTCATGGCGGAACATCACCTTGAAGGGTCGAACCTGTTCCGTGCCAAGAAGACCTGTCGACAGATGAAGTGGAATCCTCATTTCCAGAGTGCTTTACCGTCCCCAGGTGGAGGCACTCACGGAGGAGTTGGGGCTGCTGTACAGCCCAGATTGTGTATACGGAAGTTCCTGATTCAAGCTAAGGGTGCAGTCCAAGTTGGAGCAGGTAATTGTTGGTTCTTCCTTGAGATGCGTCTGAAGTCATGCACGGTTGCAGTAGGTGTGATCTACCTCATTCCTTCCATTGGAGTCTCTGGTGAGAATTCTTCTCGGCTTCGTGCGGTTGCTGAGTTTGTTCGTGGGCTGTCTATTCCGTGGTTCCTGATGGGGGACTACAATATGTCTGCTGATTTCCTGGAGGATTCGGGTATCTTGGAGCTGATGAACGCTAGGGCCCTGGTTCCCAAAAATGTTGAGTTCACGTGTTCGACTGGTGAGACTTTGATTGACTATGTTGTCTGTTCGAATCGGTTGTCTGGATATCTGCGAGTCTCCGCCGACCTCCTGTCCCCGTTCAAGACCCATGCGTGCCTGGACGTGTTGTTGGACCTTGAGGCTATGGTGGAACCCGTCTGTCTCCGTGTCAAGCCCCTGGAGATCCCTGAAGCGTATGGACCTGATAACCATTGGTTGAGTTACATGGCTGCCGCCGCTCCCAGTTTCCTCGAGGCCCCCTTAGTGATGCCTGGTGACCTCCACAACGCGATGCCCGCTCATACTTTGGAAGGTTTGTCTCGAAGTCTTGGGATACAGTACTCTACCTGGTCTAGAGCGATGGAGCTTCGTGATCTGTCTCGTGCATGTGCCATTGTCACTGACACGCACCGTTACATAGGCAGGGGTTGTATGCTGAAGCGTAAGGACTCGTCCCTGATGACTCGCAACGTGCAGGCGCAGAGTTTCAAGAACCCTGACTTGTCCTATTGGTCTCTTGTTTCTAGTCGCCTGTATGAGTTGATGAAGTTGACTCGGAAGGCTCCGCATTCTCAGGCCGCGATGCAGCACAGGCGCGTCTTGGCTGATTTGTCGTGCCACATTTTTCCACACATCGAGCCTCTTGAGAGTTCTCAAGCAGCTGTGTCGTGGAAGGATTGCTTGAACCAACCTCCCTACGTGTGTCATAGATTGGAAGAACTCGTTGAGGCTGCAGGTGTTGTGTGTGCACGTGCATGGTCTCTCGCACATGCCAAGGCCAGGAGCAGCATGCGCACTTGGTTGCAGTCATCCCTTCCCCGAGGTGCTAGCCCCGTCCATCGCTATTTGAAAGCTGAGGAAAAAGTTTGCGTTGAGTATTTCCTGACTCCTGATGGTATCGTGGACACCCCAACCTCGATGATGAGTTTTCGGGAACGGAAGTGGAGTAGATGGTGGACCCCAAACTCTGAACAGCGTGTGTGTCTGGAGGCAGGCCTTCGAGAGCTTCGTTCGCAAGCATTGGTCGTTCTGCAGGATTTGGACCCACTGGAAGTGCAAGATATTGCTAAGGCCTGTACTTGTTTCAAGCCACACACGTCTCTTGGCGTCGACATGCTGGCGCCACGCAGTTTGCTCTCTGCTCCCATCGACTCCCTCGAAGTGTTCACAGGTATCATGCGTCAAGTTGAGCAAACGTTGAGCTTTCCTCCTCAGTGCTATGTCTGCCTCATGGCCATGCTGCCTAAGTCCATTTGTGATGAGCGTGCCATTGTCAAGTGCCCTAGTCTTTACAGAATCTAGTGCAAAGCCCGCGGCTTTGATATTGATGATTGGAATAAGGAGCATCTGGATTTCTGGGACTCTGCTGTCAAAGGGTCCTCTGCTCTTAAGGCTGCTTTATTTCGTGAACTGGCCCATGAAGTGGCCCGTGCTTGTGGGTTCGAATCTTGTGCGCTCCATTGGGACCTCGAGAAGTTCTTCGACTCCGTTAGCCCCTGCAAGCTCCTCCACTTTGCCACCAACCGTGGGTGCCCTGGGCACCTCTTGTATATGGGGCTCCTCATTCACACTGCTCCGAGGCTGTTGGAGGTTTCTGGCAACCTGTCTCGGGTGATTGAGGCTGGGGAGTCTATCTTGGCGGGCTGTAGTCAGAGTATGCCCTGGGTGAAGTGCTACTTGTACGGGGTACTGGAGAGGGCTCATAGCAGGGTTCCACAGGGCCTTGGTGATCTCCCGCAGGTCCGCGTTCCCATTAGGTCTTATGTTGACGACATCACCCAGTACTTGCAGGGCACTCGAGAGTTTATTCGTCGTTATTTGCCGCCTGCGGCGGCGGCTTTCCAGCAGGATATATCAGGTCTTGGCTGTGTGGTCAGCCCGAAGTCTCTTGCCGTCGCCTCGTCTGTGGAGTTGCAGCGACTCCTTCAAGATGAGTTTAAGAAGCATGGAGTTTCCATCACTTTCTCGCCCAGTGTGAAAGACCTGGGCACAGTCACCTCAGCTGGCCGAAGGCGCACTGCTTGGAAATCATATGAAAGACGTGCTATCGCATTCCGACGTGGTCGTAAGCTGTCCTACCTTGCAAGGTTGTGTGGAGCTTCGCGTAAGGTCTTCAAGCCTGGCATCCTCTCAGTGGGCTCTTGGGGGCATGCTATGTCTGGACTTCCACCTGGAATATTGAAGCAGTTTAGAGGCTCCGCGGCTTCCTGTTCGGGGTTCTGGTCGTCGGGGGCATGTACTACCAGTGTATTGCGAGTATTGCATGATACTAAAGATGACCCTGTCTATAGGCTACGTGTTGAACAACTTACCCTAATTTCGGAGGTGTGGTCATCCTTGTCTGAAGGGTTGCGCAGTGGAGCTCGGAAGGTCTGGTCTCAATTGCATGCGACGGTTGGCCGTGCTCGTGAGTCTGACCGTTGGCGACTCGTTCGCGGTCCCATCGCTGCTTTGTATGCTACTGTCTTGGACCTAGGATGGCAACCCTCCCACATCGATGAGTGGATAGTGGAAGGCAGAGCTCCCCTAAGAATGGATCGTATTGATTTTCGATATCATGTCACCTCCTGTGTCCGAGAGAGTTGCTCTGCCGCAATATGGTCTGCCGCTAGTCAGCATTGGTGTGGGCAAGGTCTCTCTTCTGGTGCTGACTTCTCTGTTTTTCGTTCCAAGCACAAGAAGCTGCTGGATGAAGGTGATTTCAAGAATGCCGCACTCTTGACCACCATTGTTGTTGGAGGATGCTGGCCTGAAAGTCGGCTACAAGACGCTGGCTACCGTACAACAGGCCGTTGCTTCCGATGTGGAGATGATAAAGAAATTCCATTGCATCGGGCTTGGCAGTGCCCGTGCAATTCTTACCTAACCGACCCCGCCGTTGCTGAAAGCGAGCGTTTGGTTCCTGAGGCCCTTGGTGCTGACCCTCAGAGTGCCTTCTTCACGCGTGGGCTTCCTAGCTGGGACGCTACCTGTGGGCACCTGCCGTCCCCGAAGGAGCTCCTGTGGGCCTGGGGCCCCCTACGAGTCCAGCATCGTGTCGTCGGAGGTATTTGGGGCCTTGATGGCTCTGGAGGTGTATATGCCAAGGACAAGAGGTTACGACGTTGTGCTTGGTCTATTGTGTGCTTGGGTGATCCAGATGGGCTCTCCTTGCAGTTATCTACAGTCCTCTGCGGCACCCTACCTACTCCTGAACAATCCAGTCCGAGGTCCGAGTTGTACGCCTTCCTGACAGTCCTAATACGAACAAGTGGTGATATCGTATGTTATTCTGACTACCTGCCCCTGGTCAAAGGGGTCAGGCAGCCACGGGCTCAGGTGATGGCGAACAGCTCGATGCTCGATCTCTGGGCTCTGATCTGGAATGCGATCGATGATCGGGGCCCTGGTCAGGTTGAAGTCATTTGGACCAAGAGCCACGCCTCGGCCCAACAGAGGGCCCATTTTTCCATCTGTGATGTTGAGTATTTTTTGAACTTTTGTGCTGATTTCTTCGCGGGCTGGGCGGCTGAGAGGGCTGCCCCCACTGAGGAGCAAGTTGAAGCTACTAGGTTTGTCGATCGTATTACTAGTCACACGTTGGACCGCCTGCTGGCGGTCCATAAGGAGGTCGTTTCTGAGAACCCTCGGCGTGTCTCGGATAGGCTCGGGCGCCCCCCCCCAAGGCCTGCACCCTTGCCTTCCTTTCTGGTGCGCAAGGGCCGTCTGAGGGCGGCGGGCCACGAGCCGACGCGCCGAGGGTCTTGCCTCCAGTGTGTGATTTGTGCGCGTAAGTTCTTGTTGAGGGGGAAGGTCCAAGACTTTTTCCCTGGCCCATGTGCTGGGCCTCCCCACCTCTCCTCTGACCCTCTGGTCCACCCCCTGTACCCCAGGTGTGCCAGGAGTCATCGTTTGCAAGTTTTGAGAGGAGTTCTTTACTGTTTGCATTGTGGAGCTCATGCAACTGTGAATGCGCAGAGTTTGTCCCAGCCTTGCAAGACGGACAGGCCCCCCTCCAAAGCAGGGAAAGAGGTTCTGTCACGGCTGTCCAGGGGTTTGCCCCCCAAGAGCGGAGGTAAGTTCCCGCATGTCTGATTCTGTTCCAGCGCCCAGGCTAGACCTGGTCTCCGCATGCCTCGTCAGTCAGTCAGCCTCCGCCTCCTCCTCCTCCTCCTCCTCACGGAGTGCTTCCGCTCCCCAGGGAGTGGGCTGTGGCGACGCCCGAGAGCCGAGCCCGCGCCCTGCGCAGCCAAGGCTGCGCCCAAGTGCGGCGCCGCAGCCCCGCCGC